TGATCCAATGTTGTCCTAAATGACTGATGATGATAAATAGAATGCACCTGTGTGTAATCAAGTCTATATATGCACCTGCTCTTTGATAGTCTCAGGGTTCTGTTTAAAGCGCAGAGAGAACCATGAAGACAAAGGAACACACCAGGCAGGTCCGAGATACTGTTGTGGAGAAGTTTAAAGCCGGATTTGGATACAAAAAGATTTCCCAAGCTTTAAACATCTCAAGGAGCACTGTGCAAGCAATTATATTGAAATGGAAGGAGTATCAGACCACTGCAAATCTACCAAGACCCGGCCGTCTCTCCAAACTTTCATCTCAAACAAGGAGAAGACTGATCAGAGATGCAGCCAAGAGGCCCATGATCCCTCTGGATGAACTGCAGATAACTACAGCTGAGGTGGGAGAGTCTGTCCATAGGACAACAATCAGTCGTGCACTGCACAAATCTGGCCTTTATGGAAGAGTGGCAAGAAGAAAGCCATTTCTCAAAGATGTCCATAAAAAGTCTCGTTTAAAGTTTGCCACAAGCCACCTGGGAGACACACCAAACATGTGGAAGAAGGTGCTCTGGTCAGATGAAACCAAAATTGAACTTTTTGGCCACAATGCAAAACGATATGTTTGGCGTAAAAGCAACACAGCTCATCCCCCTGAACACACCATCCCCACTGTCAAACATGGTGGTGGCAGCATCATGATTTGGGCCTGCTTTTCTTCAGCAGTGACAGGGAAGATGGCTAAAATTGATGGTAAGATGGATGGAGCCAAATACAGGACCATTCTGGAAGAAAACTTGTTGGAGTCTGCAAAAGACCTGAGACTGGGACGGAGATTTATCTTCCAACAGGACAATGATCCAAAACATAAAGCCAAATCTACAATGGAATGGTTCACAAATAGACGTATCCAGGTGTTAGAATGGCCAAGTCAAAGTCCAGACCTGAATCCAATCGATAATCTGTGGAAAGAGCTAAAGACTGCTGTTCACAAACGCTCTCCATCCAATCTCACTGAGCTCGAGCTGTTTTGCAAGGAAGAATGGGCAAGAATTCCAGTCTCTCGATGTGCAAAACTGATAGAGACATACCCCAAGCGACTTGCAGCTGTAATTGCAGCAAAAGGTGGCGCTACAAAGTATTAGTGCAAGGGGGCCGAATAATATTGCACGCCCCACTTTTCCGTTTTTTATTTGTTAAAAAAGTTTAAATTATCCAATACATTCCGTTCCACTTCACGATGGTCCCACTTGTTGTTGATTAATGACAAAAAATTAAAATGTTATATCTTTATGTTTGAAGCCTGAAATGTGGCGAAATGTTGAAAGGTTCAAGGGGGCGAATACTTTTGCAAGGCACTGTAGTGTATATATTGTGTGTGATCCCTGTGTGCTCTTACTACTGTCCTATATGTGCGATGCAACATCAAAATTTCCCCACTGTGGGACGAATAAAGGAATTCTTATCTTATCTTATCTTTTCATATGGTGAAACTTAATGTTTAGTGAAGGGACTGGGACTAAGTAGATTTTGGAAATGAATCGGATCACCACCTGGATTCATGATATTTTTGTTGTCTGTCTGCTCTCTACAATTTTTTTTTTTTATAGATATATAGCATTTTGGACTAAGCATGAATGTGGCATACTCTCTGCCAGAGAGTGGTTATGCACCTGTACTAATAACTGATAAACAATATTGTACTAATAATTGATAATAATTGATAAATAATATTGATATATATAGATGCAGAAGTCTTTTTTCAATAGATCATGCACAAGACAACTTCCCCATATGGATGGGAAAAACATTGCATTTGTTTTTGTGCTACCACAATCCCACTGTCATCCTTATTTCTCCTTTTTATTATTTTTCATTTGATCTCTGTGTGAAGTCGACATTAAAACTTGCACAGTGTAAACATCTATCATAAAGTTAATGTACTGAACTGAATGAAAATTGCTTCTCATTTTCCTAATGGTATTTGGTTTCTCAAGTAATTGTCTGACTACACATGGATTCTGTACTGGGGCAATCACAGTGACTACTTTTAGTAGTAATCAATAGGGCTGGGCCATATGCCAAAAAAAATCACAATATTGAAAGTAAATTGTGTGATAACATGATTCACAATAAAAATAGCACTGGGAAAATTCTCCAAACAGCGCATTTTTGTACAACGGCTGAAGTAAGTAAGTAAGTAATCTTTATTTATATACCTCCTTTCATAGAGTCACATAAAATATTAAATTTACCACATATTGTTGAATTTCTCATTTAGAATCTGTTTTTTATACTTTTTTGCTTTGAAAAGAAAGCTTAACGCTTTCAATGATTATGTAAATGTTTTTATTTTTGTTTCAACAACAAAAATACACCATGTCAACTGCTCCGTTCAACAGAATTATATTGGGATTGGAAATAAATCATAAGTGACATAAAGTAAAAGTAAAAACATAATATTTTAATAACTTTTCAAATTTCACCTATACTCGGGATATTGAACAAAACATTTCATGTAATCACGATAGTATATATTTTTTCATCTTATATTTTATTTTATTTTTTTGCAGAAAGTTTGGGATGCAAGGTGCTAATACCAGAGCGGTGTCTATTGATGTACCGATCCACCTATTTATCCACAAAACGTCCTTTTATTTTTCTTTTGTTAATTGATAATTGATAATTAAAAGGTGAATGATCTATCTATCATATATATCCTATACCTTTTACAAAGCACCCTTTTTACCGTCACCTCTTTTCCAACCACACTCTCAGATATGATCTATGCTGTGTGCCAGTCAGTGCATTGCATTCTGTTCACAGGGAAATGAGGTATAGACAGCTGTGAATGAGTCACCTTCCCTTTCCTGACAAACTTTTGTTTTGTAAATCATAATGACGTATGCTCTGAAGGTAGGGGGCAGCAGCAGGGTGGATTGGACAGGAGGGGGTGAGATAGAGCACAGATCGACAAAAGGTCATATATACAACAAAGGAAGTCTGGAAAATCCTCTTTTTTTTTGTAAATGTACTGCATATTATTATTATTACTGTGTATCATATTAAGTGGTTTTTTTTTTTTTTTTTAACAGAGCTTGGATTTAATGAGGACCATTTCTACCACAATGCATTTGGCAATATGTTCTGTTGAATGTTCACATTTCATTTTTGATATTTATATTGCCATGAATCCATGTGAAAGCTTGAGCACATCAGACCTTAGAAGCTAAGCAGGGCAAGGCCTGATGAGTACTGTGATGGGAGACCTCTGGCAACACCAGGTGCTTCTGTGGGGCAGCTGTGGTTGTGAAGAGCTAAACTGCTTTTGTCCTTGGGCAAGACACTTCACTTTGAATCTGGTGCATTTGTGAATGATGATGGCCAGTAGCTGTGGCTACAGTAGCAGTTTACCACCACCGTGTATGGTGTTAATGAAAAATGCAATGTGAAGCTTTAAGTGTCCAAAAGTGCTATATAAAACTGATGCATTATTTACTTATAAGTGAGCGCTGGAAAACTTGATTGAAACAGACTCAAAAGCGTATCCTGATGGTCTGCTTTGCATGCAGTGTGTCCGTGCCATTTCATGCGGCCATAAAAACCATGCCACTCATCTCTTGTGCTTATGTGCGCCTGACCGGCTCCTCTCGCTATGACCGCGCACATGTCGGAAACATTTCTCCCTCAAAACGTTTTTCTCAATGAGAAGTGTGCAGAAAGCGGAGCGAGGCAGAGACCTCATGACATAGGCACCGTCAAAGCAGTTAGCAGAGACTTATTGACAGAGCATACAAGAGCATGTGAACCTTTGCAAAAAGTGCACAGTCACAAAGTCACAAAAACATTTTAGCAAACTTCTGTAGATGATATGAGCACAGGGCCAGGCTGTGAACACAACACAACATGGTTGCATTTGAATTAACTATGATGCCAGGTGTGCATCTCAATCTTGGCCGATCTCTTTTACTGAGACGAGCATTTTATCCAATACACACCAATCATGTAACGTGAATGGTGTGACGGGCTGATAAGTGTTGCCCACTGAGAAAAAGCAAGACAAAACAAAAGATAAAGCATCTCTACCTCTCTTCACTTTTGTTTTTTTCACATTTTGATATATGGCCATTAATCATAGTTTACATAAAATACAACTCAAATGCGTTTTGTCATACCTGCAGAACACAGCCGTCCCCAGCCAGCTCCCTGCTCTCATCTTCTCCATGACTCTGCTCTTGTGCTTCGTTGGAGTGAAAACTGTTTACTCACAGTTTAAGACTAAAACATAAGTTCTATTGAAGTAAATACTACGGTGGCGGCACGGTGGCTGAGTGGATAGCACTCTCGCCTCTCAGCAAGAAGGTCCTGGGTTCGAATCCCGGCCGGACCAGGGCCTTTCTGAGTGGAGTTTGCATGTTCTCCCCGTGTCTGCGTAGGTTTCCTCCGGGTACTCCGGTTTCCCCTACCACTAAAAATATGTACAATAGTTCTGGCATGCGCCTCCTGTTCGGCGACCCCGCTCCCATCTCTGTGAGGAGTGAGAGGACAAGTGCCCAAAAAATAACAATTGTAAACCGCTTTGTGACTCTGGTCTGTGAAAGGCGGTATATAAATAAAGCTTACTTACTAAATATACACCGCACTTGTGGGTTTTCTGTGATAGCACTAATGTGTGTGTAAATGTTGAACATGCAAAAGCAGTGAGCCTTAATATGACACACAAATGTTATCGTGCCTGATAATGTGGATTCTTCTGGGTGTTATCAATGTGTCGCAAAATGTGTGATGATCCTGACACCATTCAATTCAATGTATTTTTTTTATAGCTCAAATCACAACAACAGGTCTCAGTGTTTCCCATTTTGCCCGGCCATAATTAAAATGCATTAAGTTCTAATAGATGTCTAATGTCATGTGTGTAACTGTAACATAAATCCTTGTAATAAAAATACAATACAATTAATGTTTGCTGCTTTATATTGATACGATTTTTTTTTCATCAGGCTGAACCAGAGGGATTCTCTCACTTCCACTTGTACGTCTGTGCAGCCTTCCTGGTTCGTTGGCGGAAAGAGATCCTAGACGAGAGAGATTTTCAGGTAACGTGCTCCACCATTATCTGTACACAAATCTTTGAAAAAAAGATAAAGGACCCATGGGTTGATTCGTCACTTCTACTTTATCAACATAATTAGTCCATCCCTCCATTTTCTTTCCTTTTATATGTTTCCATGGGTTGTGGTAACAGCAGTCTAAGGCTGAGTTTACACAGAGACAATGTGGCAGTAAAACGCTATTGTTGGATGTCGGTTGCTACCAACCGTTCATACGAAGACTATGTTCCAGGGGGGTGAAAACGTAAGTGTTCAGATCCAGCCTGCAAAGTGGGACGGCTCAGTGGGACGGCTCAGTGGGGCGCCCTTTCACTCCCGCGTGAGGGAAAAAGGTGTGAATTCCCTGCCTGAGCTGACCCCCACCTCCCCGCACGTAAATTTGGACATGCGCAGTAGCGGAGAACAAACGTAAACAACAATGGCGGCTGGTACACTAACTAGCTTCGTTGGCTTCGAGCGCGGCACAGAGGATAATTCTACTCCTTCGTTCGTCCAAACGAGACCACGCAAAGCTCTAGTTTAAGTTTCCATTTTCACAGCTGCTGTTAAAATGCAGAAGGATGTTGGTACGTTCTGAGGGTCTGACACAGGAAGTGAGTATACTGCTGGGGGGGGTTGCGTGTGTGTTGTAAAGTTTCTCTGCCCACTACTAGCCGGGCGCTAGAACTACATAGTTTTTCAACCTCATATGAACGCTGAGAAATTTGCATTAGGAGCCTGGTCGTTTCTGTTAATAGACTGGAAATGTCTGCGCAGCGTCTCAGTATAAACTCCCTAAGCATTCATGAACCATGTCACACATCTACACGGACACATCCTTGAAATATCTTCATACTGCAAATAATATTAACAACTTACTATCAATAATAAAACATGTACAGAATGCAATTAAAGATATTTAGGAGAAGAAATAGAGAGGACTGCACAACTGACCGACCCCACCCCCTTGTTTTAAGTCTCATCTTAGGCACACCACAACCGCCACTGGATTTATGCTCTGTTGGAAAACCACTTTAGATGCCTAAAGTTGAAGTCCCAATGAAAATGGTTGTAAGTAATTAAAGCAATCTCTGAATTTAATGCACTTCCCACTTATACTTAAAGTGGGACAGTGGCTCTTTGGCATGATGCTGTAATGTAGGGGCCCATGCTTCGCTGCTGGCGTTGCTTTTGTGCGTTCATGCAGATTAATCTATGGTGTTCCGGTTGTGTACGTATCCAGCTGAAGAGTGTCCTGCACTGGCCTACATCCCTCTCCATTACCTCCCTGGTCATTAACTGTGGGTTTAAAAGTCATTGTGAGTGCATTAGGAAATGACAGTACACAGCTGCCAGAAGGTGACTTTGGCTGCCAACTCACTGGGGGACTTGGCCTCTTAACAGCAGCAATACCAGCTTCATCTGCAAATAGATAAACATAATTTCAGCAAATGGTTGTCCATTTCTTATTATCAGTCCAGCCATAACTTTTTTTTTTTCACACACTTGTTTACCTTCATTTTTCTTTTTCTTTTTTTTATCTACATTGTTCATTTTGAAATTTCACCTTAATATAGGTATGTTCTATTTCCTAGAAATATTCAACTTTATGATTTAATTAGTTGTAAAGTGTCAGAGCTCAGTGTAATTGAGGTTGAAATCTCTGCTGGCATGTTCTGTTTGTCATGGAAACATTAAAAATTTAATCGTGCAATGTCTACAGTTCCATCCATTTTTTACGAGTTGTTTCCCAGTCGTATCTTGGCTGTTTTCTTACATCCTAAGAAAATGGCACTTTTTGGTTTATTTTCATTAAACTATTACTGTACAAATTAACGCCATCGTAGATTTTTCCCTGGTCTAAACGTCCTTCTGGTTTGGTTTGAAAAGGGATTGGACGAAGGAAAAAGCTTCTATTATTTCAATCACCTTCAAATAGAAAGGATTGTCTGATATAGGCTACTCAATCTCTGCTTCTGTTTTTGCTTCTTACAGTTTGAACTATTGAACATAGTAGAGATTACGCACATTTCCAAATAAAGGCTACATGGCTGCGTCTGAAGCCTGGAGCAAGCATAACGCACTATTGAAGTCCCGATCTGATCCTTTTTGATTGTTCGGGGATCGGCTAAACTGCCCGATCCACTCTCTTGATCTTTACAGCTGTTGTCGTGAAGTAGCAGTTGTTTATGGTAACTGCGCACACAATAATTTAAAGCTCAGTTACACTAAAAATGCAGGTGTTTAGTGGTTTTATGTGGCTACTAGTTAAAACATGTCAAAAGTTTGGAAAACTAGGACAGCAGAAAAGCAACATGCAAAGTATGCAATATTGGGCATGGCGGGAGCAGCAGCGCTACATTCAAAACCAGAATCAGATCAGAATCAGAATCATTTTTATTGCCAACGTAAGTAACAGGAGGTCACAGACTTGGAAATTGCTTTGGCTCAGTGCAACAGTCAAAAAGAGATAATAAAAATAAGAATAAAAAACACTTCTAAAGAATACATTTAAATTTAAAATAGAGTTACAGTTACTATTTACAATATACAAGTGCACATGGTGCACACAATGTAAGGTGACAGCAGTACAGTGAAGTAAAGTGACGTATGATGGGCAGTAAAGTGACTTTAAAAGGGCGGGGGGACAGGTTACGAAGTGTTCAAGAGTCCAACAGCAGAGGGGAAGAAACTGTTCTTGTGGCGGGAGGTTCTAGTCCTGATGGACCGCAGCCTCCTGCCTGAGGGGAGTGGTTGGAATAGTCCATGTGCAGGGTGAGAGGGGTCGGCTGTGATACGACCAGCCCGGCCTCGAGCTCGGGCGACGTACAGGTCCTGCAGCGATGGAAGGCTGCGGCCGATCACTTCCTCTGCAGAGCGCACAATGCGCTGTAGTCTCTGTTTGTCCCTGACTGTGGCTCCAGCGAACCACACGGTGACGGAGGAGGTGAGGATGGACTCGATGATGGCCGTGTAGAACTGCACCAACATCTGTGCAGGCAGCTTGGCTTTCCTGAGCTGCCGCAGGAAGTACATCCTCTGCCGGGCCTTCTTGATGAGGGAGCTGATGGTCGGCTCCCACTAGAGGTCCTGGGTGATGGTGGTGCCCAGGAAACGGAAGGACTCCACAGAGGTGATGGGGGAGTCCATCACAGAGGGTGGGGGTGGGGGGACAGTGCTCTTCCTGAAGTCCACAATCATCTCCACTGTCTTCTGGGCGTTCAGCTCCAGGTTGTTACCACTGCACCAGGACACCAGCCGGTCCACCTCCCTCCTGTAGGCGGACTCATCGTTGTTGGAGATGAGTCCAATGAGGGTGGTGTCGTCCGCGAACTTGATCAGCTTCACGGAATCGTGGCTGGAGGTGCAGTGGTTGGTGTACAGGGAGAAGAGCAGGGGAGAAAGAACACAGCCCTGTGGGGCTCCTGTATTTATAATCCGAGAGTCCGAGACATTCTCCCCCAGACGCACTCGCTGCTTCCTGTCCGTCAGGAAGTCAGTGATCCACCTGCAGGTGGAATCGGGCACGTTGAGCTGGGAGAGCTTGTCCTGGAGCAGGGATGGCAGGATTGTGTTGAAGGCAGAGCTGAAGTCCACGAACAGGACCCTGGCGTAGGTCCCCGGGGAGTCCAGGTGCTGTAGGATGTGGTGGAGGGCCAGGTTAATGGCGTCGTCTACAGATCTGTTGGCTCTGTAGGCGAACTGCAGGGGGTCCAGGAGGGGGGAGGTGAGGGACTTGAGATGGGAGAGAACCAGGCGTTCAAATGACTTCATGACGACAGACGTAAGTGCTACAGGTCTGTAGTCATTGAGTCCTGTGATCCTGGGCTTCTTCGGGACGGGGACAATGATGGAGGATTTGAAGCAGGCCGGGACATGGCAGGACTGCAGAGAGGTGTTGAAAATGTCCGTGAACACAGGAGTAAGCTCACTGGCGCAGTGTCTCAGAGTGGCCGGAGACACGTGGTCCGGGCCAGGAGCTTTGCGGGGGTGCAGCCTCAAGAAGAGTTGTTTAATCTCTTTAGCGGCTATTGTTAGGCTGGGGGCAGGGCTGATGGGTGGGTTGTTAGAGTAGTGGGGGGTGGGGGAGGGAGAGGTGTCAGGGGCAGCATCAAAGCGACTGAAAAATAAGTTCAGTTCGTCAGCTAGCTTGTGGTCATCAGCACAGGGGGGGGCTTTGGGTTTGTAGTTGGTGATCTCCCGTAGGCCCCTCCAGACAGAAGCAGTATCGTTGTTACCAAACTGCTCCTGTAGTCGTTCTCTGTGCCGGGACTTGGCTGCTTTCAGTTCTTTCCTGAACTGATATTTAGCTGCTTTGTAGCCGCTGCGGTCCCCCTCCCTGAAAGCAGACTCCTTTACTTTCCTGAGCTGCCGGAGTTTAGCAGTGAACCAGGGTTTGTCGTTGTTATAGATGACCCTGGTCCTTGTTGGAATGATGCTATCCTCACAGAAGTGAATGTATGACGTCACAGTGTCCGTGTATTCATCCAAACTGTCTGTGGCAGCTCTGAAAAGGTCCCAGTCTGTGGATTCCGTGGAAAACCGCAAATCTAATTTGGCATTTGTGGACTACACATGAAACGGAGCATACAGCATTGTGTAAATCTACCGACGGGGAATGTTCAAATATCCGTACCACTTTTAGCTGGAGTTCTGACGTCTGTTCCATTTCTTTACTCACCTTTACTGAACCCTCATGATTTAAAGTGTACCGTTTTGCAGCTCGTCAGTCACATACAGCTCTGTTTAGCTATATGTGAATATTTCATATACCTTTTATTATTGTACCAACCAAAAGATGGTTTTATTTCTTACTTTTGTCGGCCAGACGCCCCGCAACAGTCAGCCCAAAATATGACCCAAGTGCATAGCGTTGCGGTCAGAATACATACTTAATCGCGCAATAAAAATATGTACAGCGTAAAAAGGACTTTGCGTTTACTCCGTTAATAAAGCATTTATCTTCCCCTTTGTATTACTCAAGTGAGTTTCAAAATTGACCTCTT